ACACTTTACACTGTGTAGAAAGAAGGGAGGATTCACAGGTTGATGGGCTCTCGGGTTGCGGTGTGGAAATCGCAGCGTGTTCAGGTCTTCGGAGGTGTCACGGGGAGTCAGAACGATCGTCCTCTTTTCCGTCGTTCTCCGTTCGTCGTCCTTCTACTGAAAAACCATCATCATCATCATCCTCATCATCGTCCTGGCCATCCTCATCCAAACAGCATCATTAGAGCCGTCATCATCATCATCAGCACCATGGGCACCAACATTGTGATCATCATCGTCACCAGCACCATATTCATCACCATCGTTACCATCCTCATCATTACAATCATCATCGTCATCGTCATTGCAATCACCAGCATCACCTTGCTCACCATGAACATCATGACCTTCATCATCATCATCATCATCATCATCGGTGTAGTCATTACAATCACTAGCATCATCATCACCATCGTCCCCTCCGTCATCACCATGCCCGGAAGTGCATCTTTCTGGGCGGCCAGGCTGCATGTGACAGGGGTGCGGGAGCGATGATTGGATGACTGTCGCAGGGCGTGTGCGAAGGGGACACTCCGGATGCAAAGCTATAGGTCAAATTGTTCTTATAGGAAACTTCCGCCGCCGGCTTGCCCGGGAACCGCTTGTATCAATAAATTGCACATGCTTCTAAAATATACCCTGGGCTGTATTCAACACTATTTTCGGCAGAACGTGAAACAATTTCTTGCGGTCAAGTGAAAAGGCAAAATACATCGCATGTAACAGGGCCCTGTGCTGTTCGACAGGCGCAACGATTTTGGATGCATTTTACATCCAAAACTACTTCGATATTCTACGATTGGCCTCGATTCTTCACCTTTTGGTGAGTCGATTACATTCGGCATTGAAGAATTTCACTTTGAGTTCCCTGAGTTGACGAGCGTGAAAAAGATGGCTTTGTCAAATTCTTTAAAGGGTTCAAAGCGTTCGTTTGGCTGTGAACGTCAAGCTTATGGTTGTCTCGGACAGTACATGCGAATTCCTGTGCGCGCAAGGTCAGCTTGGCAAATTCTTCCTCAGGCAAGCCCAAGTCTGTCATGAGTGTGTGCTCCTCATCCATACCCTCAATATGACCCACCAGCAGAATTCCAAAGATCTGCAAAAATTGCCACAGGGGCCCGCCGTTTTTGGTTGCTAAATTGCAAAAACATTCAGCATGAACCCCAATGTAGTAGCATGCGGCATTCTCAGCAGTCATTCTTCCGCGATGGTGCCAATCTGCCCAGAAACATGGCATACACAGCACGTCTGCTTCCTTGGCAACCTCCCGAACTGTTTCATAATTTCGTGATGATGCCCTTGGCTTGGCTGAATATTGCATGGTGCCTGATTGTATGACATACACCTCCTGGCAATCTGTGCCAGGCATGAAGGCATCTTGTCCAGGGGTCACAACATGCTCTTTTATGGCAATATGACACACATCCCTGAAGAAATTCTGATCTTCGAAGTGGCTCCACATTGGCCAAAAACCCAAAGCATTGACTGAAGGTAAGAACATCTCCTCGTGCATAAGGATCAAAAGCCGTTGAGGCACTCCGCTGAACAATGTCACCTCTGTCTCTTTGAGTCTAACTTCAAAAAGACCTTGTCTCCGGACCACCTCTTGAACTCTGCTGTACAAGTCAGTTGACAAATTCCTGAAGCTGAGCACAAGGGAGCAGTTCTTTTTTTCAGATTTTAATGTTTTCATTTTCTTTCTATTTTATAGAGTCTGCTCCTACTTAATTAGGCAAACACCTACTTAATTAAGTAAGGCGACTATTTTGCTACTAGCAATAGAAAGCTTCTAGGTCCTAGGTAGGACGCAGGATAGCTCACACTTCTTCAAGGAAGCTCGGGGGATAACTTCCTTGAAGAAGCGATCGCACTAATCATTTGGTTCCAAGATCTTTAGGGACACTAGTTTGCTGCAGCTTGCAAATGGAGTTGGAACCTGGTGGAATGCGTGGTTTCGGACGATTAAAATGCTGCAACAGAAGAAACCGGCAAAGATTTCACCAAAAAAAGACCGTTGACATTGTTGTCGGCGGTGCCACTAATAAAGACAGTCAGAAGTTTAACCCGTCTGATGGGAAACTCTGGAAGGGAGGGAACAGGTTGCAAGACAAAGACAAAAACAAACAGATTGTAAAGGCTTTTGATTTCCGTAAAGCGAAGAAAACTTACATGCAAACAAAATTAGGCGTCGACTAATTGCTGGCTACCCCCAAGGCCGCAAGAGAAAGACAAACAATGGGGAGATTAGAAAGACCTCTGATTTTCTTTGTTTGTGTTGAAAGAAAAGGACCTCAATTCATTCGTTCACCACAAACAACTAGACATTGTCGAGGAGAAGCTTTCTTGAAGGCCTCATTTGGACATCGACAAGTTGCCTTTCTATGGATTCATGACGAAATTGAACTGTAAGAGTTGTGATACTGATACATCCTAGTAGCTTCTTGTTCCTAGGAGTACGGCCAGGAGCCCCTAGCAGCGTCCTTGCTCCTAGTAGCGATGCCAGGAGCCCCTAGTAGCTTCTTGTTCCTAGTATCATAAAGACATGTGTCTTTTCGATTTTTCTTTCGTTCCTGTCCTCTCGTTGAAGAAGCGCAAGAGTTGTGATTGCTTCTTGGACTGCTCCTGTCTATATGTTCTCAAAGAACTGACCGTACTTGTAATAGAGCTGATAAAAGAGGAAAAAACGCCCATGGCCAGCAGGATCACCCACACGGCAAAGAACCTGGCAAGTGACGGGGATGCGTGCTTCACTCATGTTCAAAGCAGAGTAGCCACATCACAAAAGAATAGATTGAACAAAAAAGGGCAGCTTTGAGAACGGCTTTGAAAAATAAGGGCCCTTATTGAAGGCTCACATTCTTCTTTTTCATCTCTGATTCGTGCCTTTCCACTGCATTGTCCGGAGCGATGTTGTTCGTGGCCGGAGTGAATTGTGTCAAGGCCCAGTGAATGGAAGCTGCATAGGCCTTCACGCAGCGCATCTAGGTGCAGTTCTTCTCTTTTCCCTTCTGGTTCCTAGTAGCGTCCTCTTGTTCCTAGTAGTAAGGCCAGGAGCCCCTAGTAGCGTCCTTGCTCCTAGTAGCGATGCCAGGAGCCCATTAGTAGCGTCCTTGTTACTACTAGTAAGGCACTTGTTACTAAAAGCGATGCACTTGTTTCTAGTAGCGTCCTTGCTCCTATTCTTTTTTATCGTATTTTTGTTTACCTTTCTTTACTTCGCGACAAGCCCTGGCCTCTGCAAAGTCGTCTTTATTCAAGTCAGAGCGCAAAATCCAGCTCTTTCCATCCACTTCAGCATGAGATCCGATGCCGAACCAGCAACATGCGATGATGTGATTGATGGCCAAAATCATCAAAAGCCCCGCCACAACTTTCATCACCATGAACGCATGTGCGGACAAAAAGCGGTTGGCCAAGAGGGTGAGCTGCTGTTGCAACTTGGCCACTCGCAACAGCCGCAACAACCGCAACAAGCGCAAAGTCCGTAGGAAACGGGCAGACCTCCAACCACCACTCATGGCTTCCTGTAAGAGCATGAGCCCCACGTCAATCGAAATCACCAACAAATCCAAGAAGAACCAACTGTACAAGTACTCTCGAGCTAACTTCCAAGGTCGTAGCTCTACTTTACCATTAATCTCACGACCAAAGATCAAATGAGTTGGCATGTCCAGAATCCAAAAGCCGAAAGTGACATATCCAAAGACTTCCAGAAAAGCCAGAAATTTCGGAATATCATACATTTCCAAGGGAATGGTGACGAGGTCCCAAAGAATGAAAATACTTCCCACAAAGGACCAAAGCAGTTGGATACCATTGCGAGGCCCAAGGACAAAGGGTTGTAAAATGGAGGGATCTTTCAAAATGTCATTCATTCGCATTGTGGAACTGCTGCCGGCATTGGATACGCGATAGTTCCTATTGCGATTGATCATTGAGGCCTCCTGGAGCCCGACCGTCCATGCTTTGCGCATTTGAAGTCCATCAATAAATTGGAGCTGAGCAGCTTCGGACCCTTTGTCCATGACTTCTTCCTCTCTTTCAGATTCATCACGGCGCATACTCAAATTACTCAAATACTCTTGATTGCACAGAATCAATTCAGAGAGTTGTGCCCAATTCTCCAGTGCTCGGTCAGACTTGTAAAAGGACACCTCGTTAAAGCTGCTGTCCAACTCTGCCACTTGCACACCTTCCAAGACACTGGAGAGTTCCTGTTCCCCGTCGTCCCCATCGCCCCCATCCTCTGTCTTACCGGAAATGCGTTGGTTTTGCAGCATCCAAATCGAGTTACGCAAATGTTCTGTCTCCACATTGTGCTGTTCAAGCAATGTATTGTACACATGTTGCAGCTGCTCCCGCAAAACCTCAGAGTACTTTTGGGAAGGAACCGCCACTGCCGCCATGGCTGCCCAGTCTTCTGCCTTTTCCACACAAACTCTCATGAAACTAACGTCTTCTTGTCTTCTTCTTCATATGTTCTTCACGTCTTCTCAATGAAACTAGTTCCATCACTTGTCCAGTCTGTGCGCATGCGATGATCTATCTCTGCTTGAGCGTGTAGATGGCCAGTGATCCCGAAAGAGAAACTTCCGAAAGCGGCACACCTAGGGTAGACAAAAGGGAAGCCATGAAAACCAAAAAAAACCCTCGCATTTCTTTTTAAACATTCTTTTGTTGCGCTACTATCGCTACGAGTTAAGTTTAAACATGTAGGAACCAAATGAATAGTGCGTGAGCTATCCTGCATCCATATGTAGCGCACTAGTAAGCGGGGCGCTCAGCGAAAAGGACCTTTTCGTTTCGGTCCGTGTCGTGAAACTGCGCACCGTGGAAACACGGCGTCTTAGCTGTAGAGGTCGCTTTGTGAAAAGCCTTGAGACTTTAGTAGCCGCTCCTAGTAGCGAGGCCAGGAGCCAGTAGACCTCAATTGGTTTCTAACAGAGTGTAACAACAAATTTTTCACTGTGCTCTTTGCAGGTATTGCAAGACAGAACTTTTCTACGGCTTTTGCTCTTGGAGGTACTGCTAGAGCACGCACGTTGCTTCTTGAGCTCAATCTTCCAATGCAGAACAGTCTTTAAATTCACCATTCTGCTGCCAATGGGCCTGCAAAAACGAAAGACGATCGAAACAGCAACAAGACAACATGCAGTTGGATCCATGAGTAGTCCAAGACTTAACGCCCCTAAACGCAATGAAACCAAGCATAATAGCGATGGCCTCCAACCTAGTCGCGATGGCCTCCAAACTAATGAAGAGTAGCATCTAGGCGACACATAAACACCCGTTCTGCAGCCATCTTTCGATCAAAGTAAGCGTCACATTTGATCACATGCGACCCTGATGTCCAAAGCTGTACACACCTCGATCGTCAAGGTGAAATGCGCTTGCTTGATCTCCAGAAGTTTTAGTACCTCTCAAGATTCAAGATGCTACTAGGTTGCAGGCCATCGCTAGTAGGTTGGAGGCCATTGCTATTATGCTTGGTTTCATGGCGTCTTAGAAGTTTCAGTACCTCTCACGCATGGAAAAATCAAGCGAAGCAAAGAACGCTGCAAAACCTCAGCTATACCGCCTGGGCTGCATCCGCAGAAAGCTCCTGCACACCCAATACAACACTCTCGGCCCCACTTGCTGACTTGACAAACATAACAGCCTGTCTTGTTGATGAATGCTCCTGTAGTTCTTTCACACGGCTTTCCTTGAGTCCAAGCCTTTAATGGCTGGGTTGGTAGTGTGGCAATAATGCCACAGTGTTTGGTGGAACTTAAAAACCTGCTGGTGCTTCTGGAGTAGCCTTTGTGCAGCTCGTTTTGGCTTGCTGCAAACATCCACATGCCTGCTGCGGCTGCTGGTTCTAGAGTCCACTAAGACCTTCGTCGTTAGTTCCTAAGACTTGTTTAAGGCTGAAATTCAATCTCGGAGAATCAAGTTCACGGAAGGATTTGTGCAGGCATATTCAGGCAGTGTATGGACCGGTGGTTTCAGCCACGTTGAAACGAAAGAGAGAAGGATCAGGACCGCATTGCATTCTGATTCCCGGTGGCAAGGGTACAAAAGAAAGGGGTACAAAAGAAAAGGTGCAGAACAAAAGGGAAAGGACAACGGTCTAAGCGTGCAGGTAGCAATGCTACTATAGCGCCAGCAGCAGTAGCAGTAGCAGTAGCAGTAGCAGTTGGAGCAGAAGGAGTAGGAGCAGGAGCAGGAGCAGGAGCAGGAGCAGGAGTAGTAGTAGTAGTAGAAGGAGTAGGAGGAGGAGTAGGAGTAGGGCACCTGGCCTTACTACTAGGAGCAAGAAGCTACTAGGGCCGCTGGCCCCGGGGCTAGTAGTAAGGCCAGGAGCCCTAGTAGCTTCTTGCTGCTAGCAGTAAGGCCAGGAGGAGCAAGAAGCTACTAGGGGCTCCTGGCCTTACTACTAGGAACAAGAAGCTACTAGGGCTCCCGGCCTTACTACTAGGAGCAAGAAGCTACTATCATGCTGACATGCTGCAGGCTCTAGAGCGGGTTCTGAAGCAGGTTCCATGTGGTAATGCTTGCATGGCACATTTCAAAGCAGCACTGTCTGGCAAAAACACGGCACTTGTGAGTGAACTTTCGATGTTGCCAAAAATTCATGCCCGACTGCTGGGGATCTTTTCTTGGGCTAATTCAAGGATGACATGCACAAACCAAGAAATCAATCCGACACTTGGGTAGTTCACTGAAGTAAGGCTACTCAGTGCTGCAAACAGTGCTGCAAAGCCTCCAAGCTAGAAGCCGGCCTCCAACCTGAAAGCAATGGCCTCAAACCTGAAAGCAATGGCTGCCAACCTGAAAGCAATGGCCTCCAACCTCTGAAAGCAATGGCTTCCAACATGAAAGCAACGGCCTCCAACCTGGAAGTAATGGCCTCAAACCTAGAAGGCAATGGCCTCCGACCTAGAAGCAATGGCTTTCAACCTAGAAGCAATGGCCTCCAACCTAGAAGTAGTGGTCTACAAGCTAGAAGCAATGGCCTCCAAGCTGAAAGCAACGGCCGCCAACCTGAAAGCAACGGCCTCCAACCTGGAAGTAATAGCCTCCAACCTAGAAGCAATGGCCTCCAACCTGGAAGCAATGGCCTCCAAGCTAGAAGCAATGGCCTCCAAGCTAGAAGCAATGCCTCCAACCTGGAAGTAATAGCCTCCAACCTAGAAGCAATGGCCTCCAACCTGGAAGCAATGGCCTCCAAGCTAGAAGCAATGGCCTCACAAGCTAGAAGCAATGGCCTCCAACCTGGAAGTAATGGCCTCGAACCTAGAAACAATGGCCTCCGACCTAGAAGCAACGGCCTCCAACCTGGAAGTAATGGCCTCGAACCTAGAAGCAATGGCCTTCAACCTAGAAGCAATGGCCTCCGACCTAGAAGTAGTGGTCTCCAACCTAGAAGTAGTGGTCTCCAACCTA